GAAAAACAGAAATAGAAGAATCACTAAAAGTTATTTACAGTTTTGTACGAGACAGCTAAAAGAAAAACATGATTCAAGGTGACAGTAGCCTGTGTCTCATGTGTTAGGGTTTCACTTTTATAAACCAAGTCCTGCGCTGTGAAGTTAACAAACCAGAGGCTAAAAATATGTGTGGTCGTGATGACGAGGGTCACAGTAGGTCTCCCTGTCACCTCAAGTGTTTATTCTACCGCTGTGTCCTTGAGCAAGCTACCACAACCTTTATCGGCTCAGAAGTTGGAGCATCATTAAAGTGACACTATGCCAGGGCGAGAAGAGAAACCTTGCACTTCCAAAAAAAGGGTGAACTTGTGAAAGACTTTTGACCATATTGTTTAATTGTGGATAATTTAACCATAAGTTGACTCCATTAAGAAAACAAAGAGTCCTATATTTATCCAAAAAAAGCTAACTTTTAATTATTAAGGAAGGAGATAATGAATGGTCAAATAAAGCAATTAATTAAGATTCTTGAGAAGTACACCCTTCTGCTTTCTTGCATTTTATGCATTTCTAAGCTGAAACATCATCAAATGAAGTATGATGTAAAATGGACATTAAAAGGTTTAGGCTACAAGATGTAAAATATGGATTGAATATTAGCCTCATAAAGTGAATGTTAGAGTTAAGACATGTTACATGAATCATTTTAACTTAAAGTCAAATTTATTCTGTGAATCCTAAAGTTCATTAATTCATTCAGCTCATAAAGTCGCTTGTCTCTCCAGCTACTGAAAGGTTTGGTCAGAAAGATTGCTACACGTCAGAATGAACAAACATATGAACAAAGGCGAGCAGTGAGCTGCTCCAGCTGTCGGTTTGGTTTTATGAAATGGTCAGGAAAGAGAAGGAGGGAATGTGCATCTGTGCTGCAGTAGCTGCATTTAAATTCAGGCTGCCAAAGTACACGGCAATCTGTACAAGTCCACTCACACATCACAGCACTCGATTCAAGAGCTTCACAAGCAGAATGAACTGTGTGTGTCAAAAGAAGAATGCTACATTCTTTTTTTTGTAATAGTACAGAACAAATCTATAATATTTTAGCTCAGATTTATTACATTATAGTGTATTGTATTACTATATTTGAATTTAAATTATATTTTTTCTAACAGCTTTGTTCAGAAGGTCAGCAGACATTACTTCCTAAGTAAATCATTCCTTTTTGACTGAGTCTACACTTAAGTGTAGCATTATTGTTCAGGGAAGGTCAGCTTCATCATTGAATAAGGAAGTGAGTGAGGAAGACACAAACAGGGCCCTTTCAGGTCACATTTATTTCAAATCAGGAGGAGACACTGCTGCAGTGAATCATGCTGGTGGGCTAAGAAAAAAAAAGAGCAGGTTTGGGATGTTGATGTTTAACACATAGACTACACCATATTCACAGTCGTGGTTTGTTGTACATTGAGGCCTGTTTGTTTTAAGTATAATTTACAGGCCAAAGCCTGGCAGCCTGTTATAGAGACACTTCAGGAAAGAATACAGAGAAGGACATGCCCTTGATGTGCTGCAGAGCCATGAGGAAAAGTGGCAGATAAAAAGAGAGCAGATATCGGTCATGCACTGAGGTTAATGCAAGATGAGCGACTCAGGGCAGCAGAAAAGCTGCACAGTATGCCGGGACTGAAGAAGGGAAAACATGATATTCAGTGTGTATCATTTGAATTTGGGGAATGTTGTACATTTGTGTGTATTCTGGTAGAAAATCTCAGAGAATGATATTATGCATGACGTTGTAATACGGAGTGTTTGAGAGCTGTGAAAGCTTCTTATAAACATCAATTCACTGTATTCATAAAACAACATGTCATTTTTCTGGATATGAAATATCATTTTCATGTTTAGTGTAGAGAGAACTCTAAATGGGAGGATGAAGAGGGATTTTGTCACTTTTTTTTTTTCAGGTTGGCAGTCATAAGCCTGGATAAGCCCTCATAAATATTAGTCTGTCTCACAAATACTGTTTCCAGTTGTTGCAGATATACTGGCAAAGTTTAGAACGTCACAAATCCAAATCCCTCTCTTTGGGTGTTAATGCTTCTCTAGCCCTTCAGCATATTGCTGTGTTTAAAAAAAGAAAAAAATGAATCTTACATTACTCTGATTTATAACATAGTCTGGGCTGGATACTCGTTTTTGATTGGCTGCAGTATGTCGATTAATTCATGTCAACGCAACGTATCAACACTGCAGCCATTTTCCTATGATGTGACACTCAGGGTGGGAAGCTCAGATTTTATGTAGCTAGGAATCCGGCCATATTGTAAAATAAAACACATTTTTTGATAGGCTGTTAAATAAACAGCTAATGCACAAAGGTTGTGTCTGAAATCACATACTCATTCCCTACAGCCTACATAGGGAGTAATAATGGACTATAGTGCACTCATTCAACACATTAAATAAAACAGACACTACTCACTCTGCCGACTAACACTGTGTAAGCTAGGAACGAAATTCACTGTCATGTTTTGTAAAACAACGAAATTACACTAGCCTTCAGCCGCTCTCTAGCTAGCAGTAATATTTTTATGAAAGAAGCTGGATGCTAACCTTAGCTGTTGTCTCTGTTGTTTTATTTTAAATTGTGCCTAGATTTCCATTTGGATTTTCACCAATTAGTGTTTTTCAGTTGGTTATCAGTCTGGAAGTTGTGAAACCCTAAATCTATGCCACTAAAGAACTCAGAGTTGAGACATCATGGCAGCATCACCTTTCACCCAGCTGACTACAAAGGAAAATGGCTGTGAACATAGTCAATTAGAACTCTGGACTAGTTTTGTTAAAAAAGAATTATCAACAGGAACACGTGTCAAGCCTGTTTTAAATGAATACAACTCATTCACAAGCTGACATATAAGCACGACAACATGGAATTGCATGGTCATCAACTCACACCCCATGTGCTTTTAAACTTTATGCTGCAACAGTCACATGACCTGCTCTTTATGTGAAATCGTGTGATTTGGGGCTATAACGTTGCTGTAAACTAGCTTGTCTTGGTGTTAAAAACTCTGACAAAATTGTTGAAACCCTACAACTTGTATTGTGTATTCAACCCAATAGAAGTCAATAGAGTAAGCTTTCTAGTTAATACCTGCGGTGAGGCACTCTATGAGCTCTTCTGAGGACTCAAAATATCTCCTGCAGCTGAGTTGTAGCTAATACAGTTTCTATTTCCTGGAATAGTCAACAATGACTTCCATTGGATTAGAAGTTTTTGGGAAGGGAATTACTTTTACAGCTCTTAGTCAAACCCTCAGGTGTTACAAGCAAAACAGAGTTTACCATCTGGCAAATGACCGTTGTGTAAGAGGGTTATTGCAGGTATAATCAGGAATTAATTGACAGTGGAGAATCAAGAAGTGTCTGAAGTGCTGATAATGGACACCTTGTCAGGCATTATCCCTTACATAATATACACGCAAGCATGCTGGAAACAGATACATGACAAATCTATGTTCCTGAATGTCTTGCATCAGATTTGCTGAAGCCCTTTTCTTTGCTGGTGAGTAGTGTGAATGTTTTTGAATCAAAAATGTTCAAAGTCGAAAAGAGAGGATAAAGGTCTTGCTACACTGGGTGGGTTGAAGTCTTTAGGCAGGCATGAAAACACTCTGAGTCAATAATTTATGCACCCAGACACACACACAAACACACATACAAAGAGAGAAAGAGAGAAATGGGGCATTGCCGTAGCAGGAAACAGAAGACTGAAAAAGCTTCAGGGAAAGACACACAGAGTCTGAGACGAACAACTGGGAGCCATACACATGTCGACAGATGTGAGGTACTATTCTGCTCTTTGCAGAGAGAGACGTATCAAGAAGCTTTGAGTCAGAGGTATTTCTAATATGTGTGCTTGCCTGATGGGAGCGATTGTAAAGGTTTTGTTTTCCTGTGGTGGATGCTAACAGTCATATGTTGTCTTCACACAGCCTGACACATCTCTTCAAGCTTACGTAATGTAGATCTGCCCTAATTTCAATCTCCCCAGCAGAATTGGGGTCTTCAAGCATCTAAGCAACAGAACACCATCAGTCTGACAAACACACGAGTGTGATTAACAGTGTTAAGTTGCCTTATTGTTTTTGTGGTTATTTTTTATTCAAATGGAAACTTATCAGACACAGATTCTGTGAGCCTCAGTCATGACTAAATGCAATGCAGGGAGAGGTATTCCATGCAAACTGTAGTTCATCTTTTATACACACGATGCCTTAGTTTAACTTGTGAATCATACAGTTTTAACGTGATGGTCAGAAGCTGAGTAAGGAATTACTTCCCACTCTATTTCAGCAAAGTACCTCTTGTGCTAGAATATTTTCTGTGTCAGGTAATTGGACGTTTCCATGGATACTGAGCTTCCAGAACGCTACCTCTGCTAAGAACATAGTTTTTTTTTTAGCTAGAATCTGCATGCAGATGTACCCATACTGCACAGATACATTAAAGTCATACCCTTATTTTAGCATTATGCATATCACCCCTAACACTTTTTGAAGCTGGAGATCAAACACTTTGAGTTCAAACATGTACAAGAAACTAAGATTTGGTTAAGTACATTTTGTAATACTGCCCAAGGCCTCTTCTGAAGCTGCTATTTGTGCAGCTGTTTGAACACTTAGGGCCTCGGATAATCGGCTCATTTGTTCAGAGGAAATTGATTGTTTAAGCTGTTAGTCAAAATGTCTTTGGGTGTTACCGCCTAAAACTTATGCATCGTTAAAAACTAACTACTCCGGAGAACACAGCCCTCTTTGTTATTTCCCATTTGCCCGATTGAAACCATGAAAATGGGTTTATCTGAACATTTGAATGGGATATTGTAATTTTTGTAATGTTCTGAAAGTTGCCCATGGGGTACAACATTTGAAACAGTGTTCTCCTGGTGCACTGTGACATTTACAACACACGGCATGCTTTAGAAGAGAACTCAGAAACAAGGTTCAACCAAATGAATGCATATCTTTTATTCATCAGCTAACAACTTTAAGAAACAGCACATTGTTGACATATTTAACCCACGTATTTCTAGTCCCACTGTTGTTTTGCAATAAGAGACTATCCTTTCAGAGCTGATGCAAGTTTGCACTGAAATGCTGATGATGTGTGTTTATTTACAAATCAGAGATTGACATAGAAAATATTGTTTTATATGAAAATCAAACAAAGCAATCATGAGAATAAGACACTGACTGGACCTCTTCTCTGCACACATACACAGGATAGTTACATTTCAATACAACATGTTTTTTGGATAATCAATATTTGTATTCTCACGTGACAGAAATCTGCATTTGGTCATTGATTACAAAAAGCTTCAAGAGAACAACATTTTACAAATGTCTGTTATTTACAGTTAAAACTGTGTTCCAGCACACAGCTACCTTTGCAAAATGTATAGAAAGACTCATCATGTCAAATTAAATGTTAAAAGACTTGGCTTTTCATCCACTGGCACACATATTTGTATGCCTTGTTTTAGGTGTTCTTTTATAATTTGTCATATTGGATGTACAGAATTTACCACAGGTTCAAAATCTGCATTTTTTAACTTGAGAACTGAAACCATTAACACAGATTTAACCACTTTACATGAAAAAAACCCCAACAAATATTAAAAGGGTATCTGTCTGTGCATGTTTGTAGGCTTACCGTGTTTTTAACATTAACATCACAGCAATATACTCATTTAAAACAAGAAAATCTTGAATATGTAACTGTCAAAAACCTGTATATTAATGTGTAGATAACTTGTTCTGATGACTTTCCAGTGAGTGGTCGCAGGTCAAGTGACAAAATAATCACAAAATGACTCTGAAAATGTTAAAAGGCAACTAACCAGGCCTGCTTTCTGGATAGAAAAATGGAAAGAAAGCATGACTAATACTGCAGTGTAATATGTGATGACATGCATACAGGATCCAGATACACCATATCCTCTAATTAGCTGACTTAAGATGACAGGTTAAGTGCATAATACTGCATATGACATGAGTTTACTCTGTATTAAATTCTCAGGGAAAGTCAGATCTCTGGGCTTACACTATTGACCCAGAAATTGTTCACACTGCATAATGGATGATGTGGATTATTTTAGAGCATAGATTATCTGTATACATAAAACCACTCTGCCATTCATTCAACTATTTGTTGTGCTTCTCATCTAAAGGCTGAAGTTCTTGAAGACCCTTTGCACATTACCCATCACCCCCTCCTTAAAAGAGAGAAACACAGACTGCTAATTGCAGTCAAATTGCCAGATTTCATACAACCCCCAAACAGATGAAACAAACAAAGCCAACTAATGAGACAGTGTTTTCATTCTTATGCAATACACTCAAACAATTGCAGTTTGTCAACCTATAAGCACATCTCATTCAAAACACATGAAGTGCCTCTGAATATTACACTTCAAATAAACACGTATGGGGTGCAACTGCATCATAAATATCATACTTCAGAGTGTTATGAGTGGTAACTGTTGGCTTTTTTGTACGGATTGTCTACATAAACTGTTTATCTATGCATAGTGCAAGATTTTTTCAAACATATGTAACTGTGATCGATGCGGTTATCAAACCTTCATTTATGGCTAAAAGCTTGTGATACCATATTGTGCATTTTCAGAAAGTGACATCATTGTTGACCTGTAGGAGTCAATATAGTGCATTTTTTTGTAAAAGAAAAACACAAGGAAAAGAAATCATTCTCTGTATAAAAATAGTCATTTAAAATGTATAATATGGACAGATGTTCATCTTTTATATGGAGATATAATATAGAATCTTTTTGTACTGCACATCAGCTCAAATGTACTGCAACTGAAAAAAATGGTATGTGTTTTTGAAAACGTATCATTAAAAGGCTAGAAGGGTATAAAAAAGAAAAGTATTGTGCTTAAATGTATTTTCTCTGATGGAAAAATTATGGTTTGTTTTTTTTGTGTTAAGATCTCTGGTTGTGATGCAAATACGGTACATGAAGTCCTTACAATACAATACAATTGTTTTTAAGCCAGAAAATAACTAGAATTCCTTTTCATGACATATATGATAAAGATCTGAGTCTAAATCCAATTCTGTTTCAGTTGCAATTCATCCAAATGCAGTTGTGATGATGATATTTCAGTTACATTTCTGAGTACAGTTTCAATACATTAATATTTAATTCAATAAAAGTGCAACATGTGTCCACAATCCACAAGTGCAGTGGTTTGGGAGTTGGGGAGGTTCTGTGGGTTCACCACTGACAGTCACAGATTACAGTTTAAGTACTAGGTCAGTTTAGTTGTAGGATGCATGAATTATTACCTCACAAATCTGCAAACAAGACATCAGAGATTTACTGTCCTCATAATCTGTATTACACTGAATTTATTTTCATGACCCTGTGCAGTTAACACGATCATCCCAGAGTTGTGCATTCGCGGCGACAAACAACCTCAATAAATCTGTCGTTTTCACTGGAGCACAATTTCCCAAACAGATGTGCAGGCCATGTGTCCTTTTTTTAACACCTACACCCAGGCCTAACTTGCGGAATTAACTCAATTTAGTCTCACGTATAAATTTTGTGTTGTAGAGACAGAACTGGGAGGTGTAAATATTCAACTGTAACACACATGAACTGTATGTAATTTAAGGTGAAAGCTCTGTCTCACATTATTGTTTGTGAAGCAGCTTCGGGGTGTATTTTATGGCAGGGTGAGTCATAAGAGCCCTGAGTCTCTCTGGTTGCTTGTTGGTATTTACAGATTTAAAACACTGTGTAACACCACAAGGATCAAGGGTTAAGTGATTCTGTACTGAGTACTATTCCCCTTTGATATTCCATCCTGCATGGCATCATCCTAAGAAATGCATATGTAGCTCTAAGTCTGTTTCTACATGTTTCCTGATTAAAATGGATACATAACATCAGAGTCTCTTAAAACTGTGTAAAAGTTGTTCGTTTTTCAAGAACCTCAAGATAATCCGGATCGATGTGGAGCTTTGCTTTCAGTTCCCAGTACTCGCTCCGGTTAGGCTCCACATAAACAGTACTTGGCGCTGCACAATAGAGTATTGTCTGCTGCACCCTGTCTGAGGGCGAGTACTGATGCCTTGCATCAAAGTCTGAGGTAAACTGGCTGGATGAGTGTGCGGTGTGCTTGCATGTGTTGCTGTAGCGTGTGTGCTTGTCAGGCTCCAGTACGTCTCTGTAGTAACACAGATCATCTTGGTGGGGGGTGGAGGGCTTGTTAAGAGGCTCTGGAGTCACAGCACTGTATTCTGAGCTTATTACATTACTGGCTGCCTCTTCATCTGAGTTACCCAGAAAAGGACCGCTCAACTCGTCGAAGTCCCTCCCCCCCTCCACTGACTTGCTGTCGGTGGGGGGGTGCGCAGTAGTCCTGCATGTGGACTCTGTGGGAGGTGGGATGTACTCATACACATGCCCAGCAGATGTCCTGACTTTGGGAATGGCTCCCTTTTTGTAAAGGCCATACTCCATGTTAAGAGAGCTGATGCAAGCGTTCATGGAGTGATTCTGCTTGTTTTGACTCTTTTTGTGTCTCTTCTTCATCACCACGAACATTCCTGCAGCCACAAACACGGACACAATGAACATGAGCAGAAGGGCCAGAATCATCACAGATAAAGGAATGGCGCTGTAGTGTGTGTCGTAGTCCAAGGATGTTTCTATGGTGATAGTGCTGCCAGGAAAAGATTCTTCTGAGGGTGGGATCATGGAGGCCAGTATATCAGAGTTATTAGGGCAGAAACTAGCCGTCTTAATGTATCTCATATCCTCCCCTGCTAGCTTCTTAGGCGAGCCACAGATGACATTGTTTACAACCGTTCCCGTGCTAAGCTGCTCCAGCCACATCTTCAACTCCAGTATGCTGCAAGAACAATCCCAGGGATTCTCGAACAGATCCACCTGCACCAGTGCTGTGAGCTGATCGAGGACACCGCTCACCGGCAGATATCTCAGATGGTTGTTGCGAAGATTCAGTCTGGCTAATGTCAGGCCGGTAAACGTTCCCACGGGTAGAGTCTTCAAAAGGTTGTTGTTCAGAAAAAGGAGTTGAAGTCTAGGGACGCTCTGAAAGGTGTCAGAAGCAACCTCTTTGATGACGTTGTACTCTAAATACAGGAACTGCAGGCTCTCTAAACCATAGAACATACCAGCTGTAAGATGGTCAATCAGATTCCCATTCAGGTAAAGTCTTCTGAGATGTGTCAGATCAGCAAACGCTCTGTCGTGTATGCGAGCAATTCGATTGTTACCTAGATGAAGGAGATCTAATCCAGTCGCCTCGATGAAGTCTGATCGGCGCACCACAGGGATGTAGTTTCCTGTTAGGTACATCTTTTTGGGATTGTAAGGTTTCGGATCTAAATCAGAGATATGTTCAATTTTTCGCTCCTGGCAGTTCACATTCAAACCGAGGTCTGAAATCTGAAGATTGCAGGTACAGGCAGTCGGGCAATCTAAAGGCACGGGGGATTTGGTTTGATATGAAACGATCTGGCCGTAATTTTGTGGTTTGTTTGATGGGCTGCGAACAGTTGGTCTTGATTTTAGTTTTCCTGACTGCCGTGGTCCCTTGGTGGGTCTCGATGAGGACCGTGCAATCCCGGATGAGGTTAAGGAAGATGTGACTAAAGATGGCGGTGTCCTATAGTATGCATCGGTGCTCAAATGTGGCAGTGGTTGCATCTCATATTCAGCGATGGCTCTCCTTGGGCATAACTCCTGCTTTGAAACCTCGTCAAGATCCCTCCCATGAAGCCGGAAAGGGAACTCGCAAACCACATCCCCGACCAAGGCCGAGTAAGATATGCTCTCCAGCCAAGTCTTCAGAGCAATCAACTCACAGGAGCAGTTCCATGGGTTCTCCTCCAGCTGCAGCTCCACCACACTGTTCATGTGCTCCAGTAGACCCAAGTAGGGAAGCACTTTAAGCTGATTTCCCCGCAAGTCCAAATGAGTCAATGGTACATACTGGAAAATATTCACAGGCAGAGTGGATACTAAGTTGTCATTTAGGATCAAGACCTCCAGTTGTCTAAGTCTGCTGAAGGCGTTTGGCGCCACATGAGTGATAGAATTATAATCAATTTGAAGATACTCCAGACTTTCAAGGCCAAAGAAAAACTCTTCCTTCAAGGCATCGATTTTGTTATTGTTGAGATGCAATCGTTTTAATCCCTGAAGTCCATTAAAAGCTCCTGCTTCCACTTCAGATATGTCGTTATTTCCAAGATGCAGTATTGTAAGTCCTTTGTAGTCGACAAAGTCATTGGCTGACAGCTTTTTCAATCCGTTCCCTGTAAGCAGCAGATGATACTGGGGAAAGAACACTGGGCTTATGTCTGAGACACTTTCAATTCCTCTGTTTTCACAGCTCACTGTCAGTATCCCCTCTCTCTCCTCACAGGAACACAGTCTTTGACAAATCTCTCCATAGCTGCCAAACATCTCCACAGTGCACATTGACGTTGCACTTAGCAGAACATACAAAATCCAAAGATGCATTTTCCTGCAAAATGATGGCCAAGCTCACAGTCCTGCTAAGATATCCTCAGTGTCATCTAGAAATAAAAGACACACACAGTGTGATGTCAAACAGGCAGTGAAAGCAACTTCCACACAGAGAGAGAGAGAGAGCTGCAGCCTGCATGAGTCAAAGCTTCATCTGCTGTTACCCAGAGGTAACTTCTGGCTTTGTTGGCTGCTGATGTAAAATGGCTCAAACAAAGCAGGACAGAAAGCAACTCCTTCAAGCTATGTAAATAGCATAAAAGCAAGGTCAAAGCCTGGCATAAGAACAAAACAACGCTCTAAAGCTGCTGGGGATGGGGGGGCATATCACGTTTGTTTAAGACATAAAAATGCAATTAGACAGTAGTTTAGATTGTAAAGCTATTTAAATGTAAAGATTGTTAGCTGGGGATTGTGCATGTGCACACATTGTCAGACAAAAGACAGCCTGCATTCTGATTAACTCCTCACAAATACATACCTCACGCACATTGATGAAGATGTAGACTCATTAGGTGTTTCGGCGCATCTTTCATTTTTAATCCGTGAAAGCAAAATAGGACACAGAATCTATTTTACCCGATCACGTTCACAAACGTCTCTAACGCACCGGAGAGGATGCAGGAAACGCTGATCAATCATAACTACCAAATGCTTCTCCTTTCAGCCACGCTGTGCCGGAGGAGACACAGCTATTGCCTGGTAACAAAGTTGCTTACTCCCCATCTCTCTCTCTCTCTCTCTCTCTCTCTCTCTCTCACTGCTTTCTTTGGCGCTCGCTCTCTCACTCACGCACGCACGTAGGCACGCACGCACTACTCGGCGGTCGGGAGGTTGTCAAGTCATTTCATGCATCAGCTCACTGGAGCATCCTACAGAGGTACACCCCCCCCAAAAGATGTTGACCCACCCACAGAAACATAACCCCCCCGAAATAATAAATAAAAAAATCAATGATTCACAGTGGTAAGATTGCGCAACTCAAGCGGTCTGTCAAACCGCTTATCATATTATTTACCCTGAGAGAATCTAATAATCTCTCTCTTATGATGTTAGGTAGCTGGGGAGGGAGTGATACAGACTCCATCATGGGTAACAATGAGTCTGTGTTTTGACCTGACCTGAACTCATTACATCTGTGCAACATCACACAGGCTGTGCACTTCTGAATGCATCATCAGTGCTATTTTTAGACATTTCACCTAAAAAAAAGAAAAATAGAGAATAAAAAACTGTTAATCTTGTCATGGTACAATCATGACTTGCATCAAATAAATGATGCAGGTAAACTCTCAAAGTTTTTTTTATGATTCAGTCAGGATATCATATTCAGTCAAAATCCAGGTGACTTCAAACCTTGGAGTGAACTGTCATTCATCTAATGCAGCATGTCAGTGATAATACATCCTGTGCAGTATAAACTTAATAATAATGTCATCCTCTGCTCGAACCCACAAGGAATTTCCCCTGGTAGCTTCATTGTGTATTGATCAACTGCATGAGCAGAATAATATAAAAATGGAAGCTTTTAAAATGGGAGGATATTTACCTCGCTTGGTTCATCACAATGAGGACAGGAGTCATACAGAGTGCATTTCCACCTGATGTTAACGAAAGCCAAACCACCCTGTCATGAGTTCACCGAGGTATAATTAGAGTGAATCATTCGGCTCTGGTTTGAATTTGTCCAATCTGAACTGGTACGGCTCATGTTGCATACAAAATGTCATTGAGGTTTAGTGAAGGAGCAAAAGAAAAACAAAAGGTAAAGCAAAAGACTATTCATGTCCCATCTCAACCTGATGTGCCATCACTCATGAGGAATCATGTCAAGTATCATCATATACAGCCGTGTCCTCGTGGAGCTCTATCCATCATCCTCTTCACTTGGCTCTTGCTCACATGGGACGAGAGCAGGCACATCAGGGACACTGCCTGTGGCTCACATTAAAGAGTATGAAGGCTGTATTCATGCTGCATGCAATTCATTTGTGCTTCTGTTTCCTTTTTGCCTTCAGAGGATTGTGCTGCATATTGAGCTTCAGCATTAGATAAACCCCATCATTACTTCTTTCTCTGCATATATTACCATTTATGTGTGTTGCAAATTGTGCAGCTGGTTAAAATCTGATTTTGACCAAAAATAGCTGTCAGCTGCCAGCTGCAAGTTAGTTTTTAATTATTAGTTCAACATTCTTCCAGATTTGGTCACAGGAAATGTGCGTGTTTGCATTTAGTGTATGTTGGCACATATGTCTGCATCTCTGCAGGATGATAATCCATGTTAATCTGTGGCCATGATGAGCAGAGGACCAAGAGGCACACGCAGGCGATGCATGATACGAGCCTCATTTAATGTCTCTCCAAGTCTTCCATGACACTGAACATAATCTTCACCAACTGGGAGCATGAGGATAGCACACTCACACACACATACAGAGACACACTCACACACACATACAGAGACACACACACACACACACACACACACACACACACACACACACACACACACACACACATACACGCACCTGAGGAATCAGCAAAACAAAAGACTACAAGAAAATTATGATGACTAACAATTATATGCTCCAAGGTCAGAAATACACAAATTGAGTTGGAGCTGTGCCACAGAGGATGATGGGTAGTGCCTCTGATATATGTTTCTTTGCAGATGGTGCGTCCTTACTTTGTCAACTGTGTCCAGCTGGAGCTTACAAGAACACTCGGCATCCAAGTGAACTGTTCTGCCATAGTCTGGCAGGAACATTGCTGTCAGGGCTCCCGCAAGCCTTTGTTGCATCAGAGGGGATGTTACACAGCACACAACAAGACATCACAGAGCCTTTTAAGATACTAATGTTACAACAATATGCATTTATTTTTTAAGTTTGATCTTTTCGTTTATTCTGAAGCTTGGGTTCTGGTAATTATCTGCACACGTTGCCTTTGTATGAATAGAAAAAGAAAATAGTCCTTTAATCATTGTTTCCTTGCTTGTACCTTGTCAAGCCGTTAAAGATGTATTAACAGGCCTGTGCAGAAGTCTCTGTGCTGACAATGAGGAGAAGGTCAGATGAGACTCTGAGCAGTTGCTTTAAAGTATTTAACTGGGTAAAATAAAGAGGATGACATTGAAGGCAGTACAGACACACTGCATCATGCATAATCTCCTAAAACGCAGTGTCCACCAGGGAGGTGCAGTGTTTCTCTAACAACTCCAAGATCCCCTCTGAACTGGAGGCTCCACTGAACAACAAAAAGAGGTGTTTTATGTCGGGGACTGTATGAGAAACTGTGGTGGGTAGAGGAGAAACAGGAGAGGAAGATCAGGGATGTTAAAAAAAAAAAAAAAGAAGCCACATGAGGAAGACAGAGAACAGGCTGCAGCAGAGGAATGTGAAGGAGTTTGTAGGAGCATGAAAAACATCTTTAGATACAAGAAATCTAACAGCAGGCAGTCTGAGAACATGCCTCCCCAGGTATTGCTGCCCCCCACCCCTAAGGAGGCGTGTGGAGAAAAGATGATGGCCACATTATCAGCCATAACAGAGGACCCCTTACACCCCCCGCATAGCTGCCTGAGTGCTCAGGGCAGCTTCCTCCACAGCAGGCAGCTCCATAAATACAGACACAGAACAACCCTGTTTTCATCTCTGCTGCCACACGCCTCTACACTGATAATCCCAAGATAATTACATGTAAATGTTCCTACTAGCAGTTGTTGAATCCTTTGTTGTCATCATCTAGCACTATGTATATTCTGCTGTTGACACCTTGTTCTCTTTCAAATGTAAATCTTTACTTATATTCTATTTATTACACATTGTTTATCTTATGAAGTCTGTTGTAGCATTCATGTGCGCCTCCAATGATTCCACTTCAGGCGTTGGGAAATCATTCTTCCGACGTTGCAGAGTTTACATGCTCATGTTCACTTACAAGTGAAAACATGAAACCACCATGGGTGTAAACATAAAGGGGTTGCATTTGATTGCTGAGAGCTAATTAAGGCCACTCTTTTTGACAGCAACTATTGCTTACAACCTATAATCTTAATACACATCCATGAATTAAAATACAATTTATGGATCATGACACAGTTTTTGACCATTAAATCAACATTCACTTTGGTCTGCCATTTTCCTGTGTAATATGATATCTAGTATGTAAAACTGTACAAGTCAGGCACCAAGATAATCTTGACTTTCCGAGTTGCAGTTTCCGCTCGAGGGAGCCCAAATATTAACTTCACAGTCTAAAACAGATTTTCCAATTCTTCTATAATGTAAAATAGAGTATAATATCCACAGACACATTTACCTATTTACTGCTGTGCTATCCCATATATGTATTGTTTTAATCAAATTCTTTATGCAGCACTATGAAGGGCATTATTAAACTATTACTTGAATTTCTTCTTTAAATTGTGATCTGTTTTCTTGATAAAAGATGGCAGATATTGTCACCTTGGCTGATCTTCTTTACCTACAAAGCTTTTCCTGTAATCTGCCATGAGTCCACCAACCTGCACATTCTTCAACCCAACCTGCCCCGACCTCAGACGTTCCTCTAACACCCCCCACCTGACACCCTGAACTGATACTGAACTTTCTGCCAGGCTAATTTAATTTGCCCTTCAGTAGACTTCCCATTGTTACGACTGTCATTTGACCAATTCCAGCTCCTTTCACACCCTCAGCAACCTGCGGGGAAGGATCTCTCTTTGAACAGACTCCTGTGGTTTCTTAAATCTATGTTCCTAAAGTCAAAATGTTAGTAAGAGTTTCCTTGTGCTTCTAAAGGGATTCATCAGGAACTGTTGTGAATCTATAAAGCCCATTAAGATATTGATGTAGAATGTTCAGAATCAAATGAATGAAGTAGGTAGGTATATATATATATATATATATATATATGTGTCTATACTGTATGTTACATGTTTTTTTTCTTTCTGTCACACTGCTTGGGGCTGGGATAACAGCATTTCATCTTTTTATGTAAGCTGATACATGAGAAAAATGACAAATTAATGGAATCTTGAAATGCAACATGATTCAATATCTTTTCACTTTATTTATAATATAAATTAAGCCCACCTGCAACAACAGTTGCCAAAGAGCATGATCGTCATTTTCCACTCATAACTAAATATCTAAATACTTCACATGCAAAACAGATCAGTATGTGAGTATTCTTAAGAAGAAAAAGTAGTTTCTTTGTATTTCCTGTCACATGACGTGTGACTCTGATACATTTTACCAATCGCCACGATTACGAACCCTCCCAAGAAAAAGATCATTTTTAAATGTAATGTTTTTTATGTTTACATTTCTACTTAACCATGAAAGTATTTGGAATAACCCAAACTACACAAGTATTACATCAGATATTGTGTTTTTTCTGTTCTTCACTCGAGCGCTCAGCTCTACAGACTTTATTTATGGTTACCTTGAGGCATCTGTGTGTGTTTGTGCGGTATCTTAAAGACTTCCTACAGCAGGCTGTGGTGGTGTCCAAACAGCAGCTATTGTTGCCGTTGGGTAAATGGGTAAGTAACAATGTGAAGAGTGAGTCAGCAAGATTGCCTATATTTTTTTCTTTTTAATGCTAGACTGATGTACCGTAGCTCATATTAATTCAGAGATGTTAGCCCTTTGTAAGGTTGTAAATATGTCCGTGTTCATGTCTTTAACCATGCATGTCTTTCTTCCC